TTTCCTTTTTTCAAATAGCAGTAACTGAACTAAACAATTTGAACAAAGAAACTTTTCACAGTTTTCAAGTGAAAATTTTTGGTAAACAATTTAATTAATTCCACTTAAAGTACATTCAAATTTTGAGCCAACATCTGTAAAAAACCGTCATTTTCTAATTTCTAAACATTTAAAATTATTTTGGTCTGCATTACTGTAGACTTTTAAATGCTTGAAACTAAAAGAACAGTGGAAATTAGCAGTAAATCTTAAAATCTTGATGTTTTATATTCCCAGTGTTCCATAGTGATATGTTTAATAGGTATTATTTAGATTTAGATCAATTAACAATCCAAGGTAAACATCGATCATATAGTGAATAATTGCATCTCTTCAGAATTTGCCATTCCTCTAGTCGTCTTTTATTATCAGCGTAAATGGAAAATTTGCTATCATACAAATAAACATTTCATAAACGGTAATTTGACTCAAGCATTTCAAAAGCATTTCAAAAAATAACCAATGCGATACAGACTTCCCGACGACCACTGACGTAACACTTATTCAGCAGTATTCTTCCTTCACTGGAAGAAAGAAGGTGGAAAAGCAGTGGAGGGTTGAAGAAAAAAAGAGAAGTACACGACTGATATAATAGTGAATTTTTGAGCATTCTTACACACTAACCGGATTTTCTTTTCTTGGTATAAATTTTAGAAAACATCAAACAAATTTGCTTGCAAACTTCTTTCTTCAAAAATACAAAGATTGGCTTTCAGAAATTAGGGGAAAGTGGGATAATAAAGTATAAAAACAAAATGTTTTCCGCGCACTTTTTAAATCCAAAATTTTAATTCAATAGTCATTTTAAAAGTGACTGATCATAAAAATACCAAGTTTAAACAACGCCAATTTTATGGTAGAACTGTTCTAAATAAAGCGAAAAAACACTTAAAAATAAAAGACTTTTGACTTTAGATAAAAGATTTTGACGTCTATTTATGTCTATTTGTCATCTTTGTAAGCATTCGATAATTATAGGCTCATTTTTCTGCAAGATGATCAGGTGGTCTACTGGTTGCTACAGCAGTATTTCTACTGTTGTTACGAGTACGAAAATTGACTGTTTGAAGGTTGCTGAAAAAACTATGAAAAACTTCTAATCCAAAATCTATAAATGCTACAATAACAAATCCTAAAGAAGCAGAAGATAAAGTATTCAAAAGATCAAACACAACAAACGATAAAATTGTTGTTAATCATTTTACATTGCAAAGTCTTGAGTACAAGTGACAAAGTTGAAACTTCTACCGAAGCCTGTGAGGACCAAGTAGAAGAAGTCAGATCGGATGCCGTTGAAATAATAAGGAAAAGAATCAGCAAGGAGACTAGAAGTTATACACTATTTTAGATCAATATTTTTACTGTTTAGCAAGACCAGCCTTAGTTTCTTAGGTGTAGACTTTACAAAAGAAGCTCGAAAATTTAATTTTAGATTTAGACAGATAGCATGAATCAACTTTTTATACGTAGAAGACAACAATATTTGATACAAAAAGTATGTTGTTTGCTGCACAATTGAATTTGCCCAAAATGTCATAAAAATTCAGTTTCATCTTACGTGATCAGTCTCTCATGCCTCGATTCTGGTGGCTTTCTGCCCATTTCATGGTATATGAGCTCGTAAAGCAATATTCAAATACCAATATTCAAGTGTACATTCCAAAGATGCGACTGAAGTAAAAGTACTGAAAAAAATATTAAAATTAATCCTTAAATTTCCTTTTGAAAGAAAAAACGCATTATAAATATGTACCGCGTAATACTTTCCAGAGTTATACACCAATTTTTACATGGAAATAGGACATTTTAAAAATAGTATGAGTTGACGACCAAAACAAAGTATATAACTTTTAGTCACTATGGTAATTCCGCTACCTCCACGGTGCAAAAAAAACATTTCTTGGTTGTAAGGAACCAGTACCTATTTTGATTTAAGGTACAGTATCTAAATTCGGATAAAAACTTTAAACTTTTAGCAGTTCAAAATGCATAAATGGTGAATCCACTCAATTGACCTTTGTGATAAATTTACAATCACATTCGTCTGCTGCTTTTCTTCAAACAGACTTGTCAAAACCATTTAATTCCTGAAGAGTAAGCTAACTTCTTAAAAGATAGAGGGAGATTGCACTGTAAAAGCATTAGCAAAAACTACAATGCCGAGTCTTTAGACGCGGAAAACAACATCCCTCACAAATATCTCTAAGTGGTAAGCCAACTTATAATGTAGTAGCTTTTATTTTTTGAGAGTATATTAAAATAAAATTTCAGCTCCTTAGGACTTTCAAAAAAATTAATGAGCACTGTTGCATTTAGGCCTACTCTCTCCAAACATGCTTTTCAATGATAACCAACTTCTGGTTTTGAGGTTTTCAATTTGGCTTTGTTTACCTGTATCAATTTTAGCAGTATTCATGCACTACTACCTTAGTTTCTTGTACAGTTGCGACTCGTGAAAAAACAGCACATCTTTTCTTGTCATTTTTAGAAAAATATTCACCCCTCTAATACCTGGATAAAAAATGTTATTGATAAAACTACCACGCCCGCCGACTAACTGTACAAGAACCCACATCTTCAGTTATCTAGCAGGTAATAACACTACTTTCTTTGTTCGGTATCTGATTAAGGCTTTGTCCAGTGCAGATTCACTCACAGTCATTTCTGATTACTTCCAGCACACTCTTGAATACGAACAAATATAATTTTAACTTGGAAATCTTAAGTTTCAGAACATCTGCTTTAGAAACTTACTATGAGTCAAGATTTTACCCCAACAAGTACATAGCTAAAATCGTTAGTAAAGTTTATAAGCTACCTTTCCACTCTGTCATGTAAGTGTGTCAAGTTATAACCAGGCGAAAATAAGCAGTAAAAAAATTTTTAAGAAAGTAGTACGAAGTTTTATAGGTGTCTTTTAATATATATTTCCAGTCAACACCTCCAACAGCTTTCTAGCAAAAAAAGTTGCAAGTTTTGGTTTGCCACTACTCCTCCCCCCTCTTCCAGTTCTTAAAATGTCGGTCTTTCAGATTACTTTCTTTCTGTGTTATACGAACCATTCTGTAAAAATGTTGGTTTTTATAAGTGGTTAGAAGATATTTGTACTAAATAACACCTGCCGCAAAAACTTTTTTCAATTACCACTTTTTTTTTGCATGCTAAAGCCCAGAAAGTTGAGGTCTTTAGTATTAAAAGCATTTCCGGAACAGTTCACAACCTAGTTTATCAGTAAACAATTAGCTATTTACAACCTGTTTGCTATTATTCAACCAGTAATTTCCTTTTTTTCATATCTTATTCAATTGCTCATGAAACAGTTTTAAAAAACTTGAAACGGTGAAGTGTGCTGCAGCAGTTCAGCTTCAGATTTTTTCCGAATGCTCTTCGATAATCAAGAAAATTAAGAAAATTTAGAACTTGGTAACAAGCAAAAGATTCCAGCAAAATTAAAAATTTTTTTATTCATCGAATACAGCGGATTAATGGGTTTTTCGCGCATAGCTAAAAGGCTATGACTATCCCACATCTCCACAGCACAGAAGCGAATCAAATAAGTGCAGGTGGAATAAGCCATAATTTAAAAGCAGTTACTTGAAACTCAAGAAAAAGAAGTAGCATATATATAGTACTGGTTATAAGTGAACAAGTGAACAAATGTGGCTCGAAAGCTTCATAAGCAAAAAGTAAAGGAAGACTTTTGAAAAAAAAAATGCATATTTGGGAGTGAGGACTATAAAATGGCAGTAGTGACCGTCATACTACAATCTTCTTCGAAAGTTATCTTATTACAACTCGAAAAAAAAAGAAAAGAAAACAGTTTGCAAAGTAGCATCAAACCCTTCAGCCTTCCTGTCGTCTGCTATTTGGTTTTCTACACTTTACACGCCTTCCTGTGGCGGTTTTTTAGTGAAAAAGCCTAGACGAAATGCAGCTGAAAAGGTACTTTCTCTCAGTGGCATATAACAGAATAAAGAGGAAATAGCAGAATTTTCTTAGAAGTGCAGAAATTGAGCGATTATACTTTAGCTTTTTTTGCGCTAACGAAGGTTAGGGGTGTGATTTTAGCTCTTTTATTCGTCGCCTGGTGAATTTCCGTTTGTACAGAAATGCTCCGCATAGGATTTTATTATACATTTCACTTGCAACAAGCATCTAGAAATGGAAGACGCCAAATTAATGAGTAAGCATTTTAAGTTATGCATCTACCCTGCACAAAAATACCTACGGATATACCAAATTTACCGAACGTCAGAGCTTCTTGCAACTGACGCTAAAAAGTGTTTAAACTATGCATCAAGTCCCTTCTCTGAGCGAGCAATAGGAAATTTGGGCGAAAGCCAGATTCCTAAATCAGCGGGATGGTTCGAGTCCTCGGACACTGCAGGAACGCGAGAGGTTGTTTAAGTACTGGCATCGTCAGATATATGCGTGTGTATAAGTCTTGCTTTGGAGATTTGCAGGTGGTTGCAGAAAACTATGCTGTTCTTCCACCCACTGCGTAAGAAGTCAGAGACGAATTTTGAATCAATATATCACTGTTAGCTGTATATTATTTTAATATCAATTCTGAATAGATTCTTTTCTTTCTTGTTTTTTGGTTTCAATCTACGGAAATCATGAGGATCAGTGGCTTCTATTTTTTGTTGCTTTACGCTCTAGTATAGCGTTCTTGAGCTTCGTTTAACGAGTTGTTGATTTGCTTAAAAGTGCTAAGGTTGCTGAAGTTTTGTTAATGATATTGATATAATGGCTACTTTATTCTACTCTCTGCAGTTTAACTCTGTTCAGGCGACTGATAAAGAGTATCTTTTTATTATCATGCAACCTAGAGTATCCTGATTTTTCACTAGACCTCATCGAATTGTTGCATTTTGCACGACGCTTAGTTTTTAAATTTGTTGGCGGTTAATCCACACTGCCAATTCTATATCGGAAGTATTTTAAGGTGGGAATTTTGTATGGAACGGGTTCTTTTCCCGTCCACGTCGTTAACTACAGTATGTAGGGGTTTAATCCACAAATCATGGAAGTCGGCAGCTTTCCATACATCGACAGTAAATCGATGGCAAGGTAAAGAGAACTGAAAGTCGTTGAAAATATCCTGCATTTCTGTTTCAGTGGTCATAACTCTAGCATTTTTATTGCATGAACACTTCAGATTTCGAAAATGAACGGCATTATGAGCCTGGAGAAGACGTGATGAAGAGGGTTTGGCATGGCTTAACCTATGATATTAGGCGGTGGAAGAGACGGTATAATGAGGTAGTGAGCTTCTGCTCTTTACTTTTTGCATTAATTTTTCTAGAAAATAAAAATAAAAAAAACGTTGTCTAAGTGCAAAGTTTTATTTTTTCTCTTTGTCTGTTTCTTTAGCTGAGAGTGTCTACATTAGCTGTCGAGTGATGTTCTTGCAAATAAAAGCTGTTTTTTTTTAATTGAAGAAATTAGAAGATGGAAGCGTTTGTATCAGTGTATTATTCCAAAGCTTCTGGCACGATGTTTCTGTTGCAGGCACGTTATGATGCATTTAGGAGACGCTACATAATAGCTCATATGAAAAAGTCTGTGATAGATAACGAATTGTTCCCATTTCGAACTGAGGTTGGATTTTTATACCAAATAGTCAACGTTTCTTCTTGTTGCACTCGCCAGTCGCTGGCCAAAAGTAATTTTGCAAATACAGAGGCTTTAGAAGATGTGGTGTCACTTATTTAACTCTTTAAAAAAGCTTGCTAATTTTCAAAAAAAATATGATATGGTTTTTCTAGTTCCTAGTACTTAAAGTAGGAATATGAACTATAATCGATTGCGACGACTAGAATGAGAAAATGGAACCTAGTGTGAATTGGTACTATAGAAAGTTTTTTGAGGAGGAGCTGATCTACTGATTGGCCGTGCGGTCTCTAATCTACTTTGAATATTGCATTATGAAAATCATTATCAGAACGATTTTAAAATTTTCGCTATAACTGGAAAGTCTTGTTTCCAAAAGGAAAGAGTTGTTTGCAGTTTGCTAGTACTGTCTTTTCAAAGGACTGAGGTTTTATAAATTCTCGTGCAAAGACAGCCTAGAAAAGTTTAGTAAATCCACTTTAAAGCAGGGGCTGGAGTTTTTAAGAAGTTCTGTCTGAATAAAGATTTCTGGTATGGAAGTTACGAGGATACTGCTAATTTACCTTATGGTATTTTTGCAAAAATCTTTGCACCAGACTTATCCTCAAATAATTTCACTTCTAGAATAATATTACGAAGGAGGTCAGAGGTTCAGCCGACCAGTAGCAAAAAATATCTAAAGGGATGTTTCTGATACATGAGTTCTAATGGGTCTCCTGACCTTTAACCATTCTACTGAAGAGCTATATTGATTCATGTGCTGTTTGCACTGCTTCGTAGTAATCATTATAAATATCAGTTGTTGAATATTTTTTTCTTGATGCCCTTTTTCAAACACCACGTACTAATCCTATTTAATCCATCACACTTTTTTTTGGTGGGTGGACTGAACTACCAGTATCTGAAAAAGTTCGATGCTATTATGTTGGATTTCACTTTCCTCGTTTATTCAGGTACTGATCATCGGTGGTGGTTTAACTGGTTCTTCGGTTGCATATTGGATTAAGCAATGTTATCGTGATGAGGATTTCAAAGTTACAGTTATAGAAAACAACGACAAGGTCAGCTTAGTTCTGTTCTTAACATGAATTCTATCTAAAACGTTGTTTTTATCTTTCTTTATTCTGCTCAATGGTTGTAGTCGGTGATTTAGATTATTTTCAGTTTGCACAAAGCTCAACAATGCTTTCCTGTGGTGGTATATCACAACAGTATTCGACTCCGGAACATGTTGAAATGTCTTTATTTACCACCGAGTTTCTGAGACACACTGGCGAACACCTCAGAATTTTAGGTACTTATATTGATCTCTTTTGAGCCGTCTCACATGGAGCTTTTCTTCCCTTTCCTCTTAGTTGTGTCTCCCGCTTCCTAATCCTTTATTGCACACTAAGGGTTCTGTTTTTTCCTCATAATTCACAGCTTTACAAGCTAGTAAAGTGACATCTTTTCTATGAGAAGACGGTATTTCCCAATTCCGTTTTTCTACTGAGGCGTTCCGTGTACAACATAGTGTGGTCGAGTTTTGGTCTTGTACAATTCCTGTCTAATAGTGGGCAGGCAGAGTGTATTTTTGGTTAAAATTCTTTTCTGATTTTTATAACATTTTACAGAAACCGTTTTCAAAATTTTTAACCCTACAGATAATGACCCACCAGACGTAAGTTTCTTCCCAATGGGGTATATGCACCTAGCTCAGACCGAGGAAGATGTGGAAAAAATGAGGGAAAGCTGGAAGTTACAAATGTTAGTTATAGTTTCAATTCTTGTCCACTTAATAAATGACTTACCACTATTATGATTACATTATTTCTCTTTTAAATTTACCCATTTTTTAAATTAATTTTTCTGATTCTATTTTTTTTAGTTCATAATAAAATTATCTTGTTCTTCTCCGTGCTTTTCAAATTTTTAGTGAGAAAGGAGCTCGAGTTGCTTTATTAAACAAAGACGAGTTAAAACAACGTTTCCCGTTTATGAATTTTGAAGATACAATTCTTGGGACCTATGGTAGGTCACTCAATATAGACACTTTTATGTACTACCGTCTTTTTAAGATAGGTAGACTGATAACTTTACCGGTTAGACTTTTGGAGTACATTATATACTTCAGAGAAGAAGAAGTATTGTGTTACTTTATTCAAACTTCTTTGTAACCTGACCCTATCATATCAGGTTTGGAAAATGAAGGATGCATTGACTCGTGGCAACTTCTCTCAGCAATTAGAGAAAAAAATCTGACTTTAGGCGTTCAATATGTAAAGGGAGAAGTGGAAGGTTAGCATTCATAATTTTTTGTCGTAGTAGAATTACCATGACACTTAACGATTGAAATCAGTGTAATACGCTTATAGCTCTCATTTTTAGGCTTTATGTTCAGGCGTGATGGGAGTGATGTGCATGGTTACGAAGCAGAAGACGTGGCTGATGAAGTAGCAATGAGTAGTCGGAAGTTGATTGGGGCGTATGTATGCGCTAGATTTTTTATTTTTAATCTTTTAGCACAATTTCTTACAAAATGCTTTGTTTTTAGGTACGGCCACAGATGACTGATGCCTCACCGAGACCTATTAGATTTCATTTCGTTGTTAACGCTGCAGGGCCGTGGGCAAGAAGTATAGCAGAAATGGCAGATATTGGTTAGTTTATGATATCCACTTTCAGAGCTAGCAGTAGTTTGAGATGGGAACAGTCTTTTACTTTTTATTTTCTTATTTTCTTTGAAAATGATTTTCAAACACCACAGCAGAAATGACTGCATAAATAGTTGAAGCAACAATTTGCAGGAATAGGAAAAGGGGTTCTTTCAATACCGATACCGGTTGCGTCAAGGAAGCGAACTGCTTACGTTATTCATGCTCCCGATGCTCCATCTTTAGGCATGCCGGCGTTTGTTGATCCATCTGGTGTGTTTTGTTTGCAAGAGGAAGCCGGAAATATTTTCATTTGTGGGAAAACTCCCAAAACATTGGTTCGTTTACTCCTCTTTTTTTGTCATTGGATCATTTTTTTTGTTGAAATATAATATTTTTTCATAGGTTTATAGGATGAGGTGGCTACCTTTTCTTTGATATCTTATTGTGGTATATTGTCCTGTAAAGTTTCGTCTGTTGCTGCCTTTTCCGCTGTAGTCTTATAGGTTATTTCCCTTTCTTTATCCAAGCGGTCGTTGATGGCTAATTTTTTCAGGAGGAAGACCGAAAAATTGACCACTCGAACTTGAATGTTGATTATGACTATTTTTACAATGAAGTGTGGCCAGTACTAGTCAAGCGCGTCCCTACCTTTAAAAATATACATGTACCGCTTGAATTTCATAATTTCCTATCACTCTGATTTATCATTTTATTATGCTGCATTTCAGATTAAAAATGCTTGGGCACGTTACGAAGACGTCAACTTGTACGATAATGCACCTGTTATTGGAGATCATTTGTTGTATAAAAATTATCTTATTGCTTGTGGATTTGGAGAACGTGGAATACAACATTCTTTGGCAGCTGCAAGGGGAATATCTGAAAAAGTTTATGAAGGTGCATTTTTATCAATAAATTTGGGAAAGTTTGATATGCGAAGATTTGTTAGCGGTAGGAAAATAGATGAAATTTATTGAAAAATCAATTCTTCGCTCTATTTTTTATTCGCAATTCTGTAGAATTGTTTATTTTTAAAAATTGTTAAGCGTGAAATTAGGTTCTAACAAATACAGCAGTTTTAATTTGTTAGGATTGTAAGGTTAGGTCTTGAAAATATTTTTTTGCTTTGTTTTCGTCTTAGTATTTGTTTTTTTACTGACATTTCGACACTGTATTGCTAACCGGTTGTTTTTCGTATTGCTTGTTTATGTTTTGGTTTGACATAAACGTTTTTTACTCATAATGTTTTTGTTCTCGCCTTTTTAGTGCTGTACTCTTTGTTATGTACCGAATAACCGTTATGAATGAAATAAATGATATCAATAACGACTTGTTTTGATGAGTAACTTCGTTGGTTGAAGGTCCGATTGGTTATTCTTTATTATAGTGAACCAATATGTCGGCATTTGATCACCGTTTAGCTGGTCATTTAGAATCTTAAAACTAAAAAGAAATTGGAAGTTTTAGTGGGTTTCGTGATGGTTACCCTGTCTGTTATTCGAGTTCTGAGTTTGGCAGAGATATGTGCTGTGGGCAAGTTTACTTTCCTGTTTCTCTTTGTTGGTGTCTCCAGGGTGTTCTTATAAAGGAAGGCTTGATTTCTTGTTTAATCAACAGTAGCTAGATTTAAGCTTTTGAAGCATCGTGTTTTATCATATAGTGCATTTAAGCTGCGGCCACTTCCTTTGCGCAGCAGCGTATGGCTTTGTATGAAGTCGTTACATTTAACGATCCTTGTGAGAGGTCTGCCTGTTCTCTCGGTCCTAAATGTGGAATTCTAAAATTGCTTAGAAGAACTAGGCATTGCAAAGCTGTTTAGCTAGTGTATTTGCTAGGCGTGGTGCTTAATTCTCAACTAAGGTCTTTACGTAGGAGGGATACGAAAATTTGAAGGTCATCGTTAATGTTTTTATGAAAACAGCATACCTTTGTTTATACTTCCTTGCCCTTGTTGCATAAGATGTCATCTGACGAACCAGAGAAAAAGAAAAGTCGGACATCTCGTGATGAGGGTGACAGTAACGAAGAGTTCCAGGAACTACCTAAGGGATGGGAAAAACGCATGAGCAGAAGTAATAGTAAGTGTGTTTTTATCTTATCTTTGAAATGATAACTTACAGAACTTCTATGAAATACGTTGTTTAA